CCACTGAGTAAAAACATTGCCACCAAATAGAGAAAGATGTTTACTAAATTTCATTTTACTTTTGAGAGCCAGTGTTTATTAAAATACCCTCAGCCTGTCCAGGATTAAAACATAAAATAAAATGCATAATTATAAGTGGGTTTTAGTTTTAATTTTGTTACTTTTATTTGGTGCTTGGGATTGAACCTAGGGCCTTGTGCATGCAAGGCAAGCACTCTACCAACTGGGCTATATCCCTAGCCAGGGACTTCAGTTTTTGTTTTTGTTTTTGTTTGGTTTGGTTTTTTGCATGTTTTGTAGTTGGTGGTGGTGGTGGTGTTTTAAAAATTAGTCTCCTACTAATTTTCTTGATCAGAGAATAATTGGAAAGATTCTAAATGAGAAAAGACATTGTTTTACTGCCATATAAGGTTGAGCTATTCTACCTTCCTCCTGGGAGTATGAAATTCAGGAAATGGTAAAGTGTGGATTTTCAAAGTACAGAACTGTTTTCTTGCAGAGAAATTGCATCACACTTTTCAGATTGGGCCTGAGGTTCAGAGGCAATCAATGCCTTATTTATGTGGATTAGAGGCAGGGAAGGAGAATATTCTGATGACAGTAAGGGAGACCTTCTTGCTCCTTCCTCTTGATTCCACAATCCTCCCTCTTCTCTCTTGGGCTGCTTTAATCAGGCTGCCCTAAAGAGAGGGCTTTGGTTTGGGGTTTTGGTTTTGTTTTGTTTCTGAGATTTAATATTGCACATATTCATCATGCCACACTGGTTTCAACAACATGCAAAAGCCATGAAATTTAACATTCAATTTCAGAGCTTTGGCCAAGAGATGAAATCATAACATTCAATTTCAGGGCCTTGGCCAAGAGATGAAATTTATATTCGAAGGAAAGGGGATGATGCTGGAGAAAGTGAGAACTTTCATGGAATCTATACCATATCAGGATTATATTTTTGCGTAAACTGCCTTGTGGGCCTGTTTCATTGATGGGCTCAGAAAAAGGTGAAACAATCCCAAAAGGGACGTGTGAAAATGACAGAGAGAATCTGAATCCCGCAAAAGCAAGCTTGGTGTCCCGGGATTGCTTCACAGCTAAGGCTTCAGGCCGCACCCGAACAGCCTGGTAATCAGGAAGCGCACTTCAGAGAAAGGGTGGTTCCTGAGCCAGCGGGTGACAGCGAGGCGGGTGGGCCTGCCCGGGAGTGGCGGCCCTGAGCTTAGACTGGGGGGCCGAGGCGAGGCTTTCAAATACAGATCACACAATTCGGAATCCAAAGTTGCTGGCGCCCCTCCAGAGCTTGGGAAAACATAGTGCAAACGAGGGTCCAGGAAGCTTGAGCTTCGTTGGGTTTCATGATCAATTCGCCTTGAGGTTTTAAAAATATATCGATTTCGCCCCAGAAGACCGCATTAGGGAAGCAAGCGACCCAACAGCGGCTCCGACCGGCCATCGAAGCCGGCTAGTTTCACCATTAAGTTCCTGTGGAAGCGGCACTTGAGGATCTAGGAGCACTGATGTCCTTACAGTTATCCCTTTTGCGTGTGATGGAGCGACCCAGGCTTGAGAGCCTCCAACCTGGAGCTCCGGGTTGCGCTGAGTCCTCCTGCCTCTCCAGCCTCTGCGCTCCAGTCCCGCTGCCCAGGGAGCTGGGCCGACCTGGCACCGAGGGCTATGCCGATCGCCAAGCACCATGCTGGCCCAGCCAGCGTTCCCAGCCCAGGGGACGCGTGTTGGGTTTCACGCAGCAGCAGAGGCCCGAGGTTTCCAGAAGAAAGTAGCAATCAAGATCTTCCTGAGTATGGCAAACCCCTCCTTGCTGACCCAGGCCAGATAAACTGGTGAGGCAAGCTTTTGTGGGAACTGAAACTGAACTCCCAGGGAAATCACTGGCAGTCCTAGAACCAAATAGGACAAGTTCAAGTTTTAGAGCAGACTTCCAGGTCCCTTGTTCACCTGATAGACTCAGCTTTTAGTTTTAAGAAGCAATTCAAAGTTCAGATGGAAAAAGCTAAAAGGTGTCCTATGGCCTAGAGTCTCCTACTTTCTCCAAAGATCTTCACAGCTGCCTTCAGGAGGACAGCAGAGAAATGATGGGGATATGTTACAATAAATGACAATTAAAGCTATTTCATTATTTATTGGGGGAAAAAGTGCAGATGTTTTTATCAGCCTCCCTATGCACTGTGTATACGCATACCTGTGTGCATGTTCACATCTATAATCAGTCTGTATGTTTATAGAGGGAGATATTTGTGGAATACATACTGTAGATTTAAATTTGCATTCTAACACTCTGCAAAAACACTTTCCAATCACAACCACAAATGCCAAGCTTAAGCATCCTGGTTTTAAAGTCAACTAAAATAGTATTTTCTTTTCATTTGTATTTAGAACCTCTCAAACAGGAGCAAACTTTACTTATAGAATGAAGCCACTCTACATGTGAAAAGATGACATACATAAATTGTATTTACAATGGAATGTTTAAAATTCATTTCTGTCTCTAATGGAACCTGACTTCAGGGCATGGGAGTTTCCGCTTCTTGGAGGGGCCTCTAGGCAGAACCAGTTCTTGGCACCAATCGCATTGCCTGATGCTGTAAAACACTAAATCTGGACAGATTTACACAGAACAGAAGCTTTAATTTCACCCTTTGAATTCCAGCCAAACAGCTTTGGGAACTTTTCTATGTTCCAGACCCCCTAAATGTTTTTCCAGGTTGGGTGATTGAGCCCCAGGCCTATTGCAGCTCTGCCAAAATCATGACATTATCAGACACAGAAATGAGACCTGTGTCACCATGTATTTTATTATTTATTTTTAAATTCTGTCTACATAGAAGGGCAAAGACATTTTATTTTAAAGATGCCACTACTATGTCACTGATAAACCAGTACATGTCTATTTGATAAAAATCTGGAAATGGGTTTTACATGTCAGAAAGATATATTGTTTTCTTTGTAGTTCTTTACTTGAAATTGCCTTCACAGTTGTTTTACTTTTTTCTAAACATATTTTTGTAAGAACAGAAGTTAATAAAGAAGGTATTCGAGACCATTTTTCCAGACACCATATAAATAAAACTAACTTCTTCCCCGTGAGGCAGGCATGGGTTTTTCTAACTTTAAATGACTACTACTTACATTGTTGGAAAGATCACTCAGAAGTTGCTTTATTCTACTTCTAATAAAATAATTAAAATACGCTGTGTTTTCCTCAAATGAAACTTGAGAATTTCAGAATTCTTTAACTGAACTGGCAAATCTTATCACCTACTAAGTCATTTGTTTAGGGAGAACACTTTCCTCTGCTGGGCCCTGGACATGTTGGCTACACAGTTATGCTATCATGATGATTATAATTTACCACATGTACAATTCAGGGCACCCACTGTGGGATGTAAGTCAACTACATATTTACATTCTGTAAAAAGCAAAGTCCTTTGCATCATCCAGTTAAGACAAGGAATAGACTAAAAGTAATTTTCCCTGGTGTTAAATCCATTCATAGCTGGGAAGATAGTTAAGAACATTTTTTCCACATAAATTTAGTTACATATGTTTACATTTAGTTACATATGTTTGAAGCTTATTGTACAGTATTTCTGCAGGGCCCCCCACCAAATCATGCAAAAAGCCTGAAATAGTGAACCCCACTATAGCTCCCTTCCCCTACAGGCCCTTTTTGTGAGGAATAGTGGAAAGTACAATATATGGAGTTAAGCAAATATTTTACTTGTTCTATGTCCAAGGCAAATCAGCTTTCAGACCAATGTATGGGCTTTAGTTCAGGGCTGGAGCACATGGCTCCGGTCAGGGCTGGGAATGAATGACGAATATGGTCACCCCGTGGCTCTGGCTGTGCTAGGCACACTGGAGTTCACCCTCCTTTCCAAGGACTGTGAAGAGACTGAATGTTGCTTTATTCCAGAGCTTATCCCAGGTTAGAGCTCTTCGAGGCGAATGTTCTAGAAACCCAAGATAACTTCTTATTTGTCTGAGTTCCCTTAGGACAGGCACTATGATGTATTGATTTCTCATTCCCCACTTTTAGCCCTGTACTTGGTATGCAGGAAGTACTTGAAATATCTGAGAAGTCACTTAAGTCATTGAGGTTCCTGGTGAAGAAGATTCCCTTAGGAAGGCTCTTTGGGTTTTCGGGTGACTGTAAACTATTAAGATGTGTGCTATGCCACAGTAGCCACTGGCCACATGTGGCTATTAATGATTGGAATGCAGTTTATCCAAGTTCACATGTGTTGTAAGTATAAAATACTTACTAGAATTTGAAACCTGTCTTAGTTTGGATTGCTGTAACAGAGGACCATAGACAGGGTGACTGGAGCAACAAATATTTATTTCCCATAGTTCTGAAGTCTGGCAACCCAAGATCAGAGTGCCAGCAGGATGGTGTTCCTGGAGGACCTCCTTCCTAGTTATATTCTCACATGGCCTTTCCCTGGTGCATGCAAAGAGTGGGGGAAGGGAGATCTTATCTGTTTTTATAAGGGCATTATCCCATCATGGGGGCTCCAGCCTTCTGACTCTATCTAACCTTGTCTCCAAAGGTCCTGCCTCCAAATGTCATCACATTTGGGGGTCAGGGCTTCAACATGTGAATTTGGGGTGGGGGTGGACAAACATTCAATCCATAACAAAGGCAGTATGAAAATAAATGTAAACTACCTCCTTAAAAATTTTATATTGACTATATATTAATCAATACTTTGGATATAGTGATTTAGATACATCTGTTTGTGTTAGGCAGCCTCTAAGATGGTCTCCGCTGATCTCAAGTTCATGGTACTCACTCCCATATGTAATCCCCACCCTACCCCACCCAGAATGTAGGCTAGATTAATGGCTCAGTTCTAACAAACAGAATATGGCAAAAGTGATAAGCTGTGGAATCCAATTTCAGGTAACAAAAAGACTGCGGCTTCTATCTTGGTTGCTCCTTCTTTCACTCATTAGCTTATTCCAATTCTCTCGTCTTATTTCAGAGTCCAGCCATCACCAAAGAAGAACAAGTAGCCATGCTGATGGTGCCAGATGGAGAAGAGATACTGCTATGGTTTGGAAATTATTTGTTTTCCACAGATTGATGGGCTGGAGGCTTGGTCCCCAATATAATGGTACTTAAGTGGTGGGTCCATTAGGAGAGATGATTAGGTCATGGGGCATCACCCTCAGAAGAGATTAATGACTGTCCCACAGATGTAGGTTAGGGACTGGATTGGTTAATGAGAAAGAGTGGGTTGTTATACATTGACATTGGCTTTCACAACTCCCTTTCTCATTATGTGATCTCTCTCCCCACCCCACCCTGTATCTCCCCCACTATATTATGATACAGCCAGTGAGTCCTTGTCAGATACCATTACCATGCTGCTTGGACTTTCCAGCCACCAGAACCATGAACCAAGTAAACCTCTTTTCCTTATATGCTACTCAGTATCTGGTATTTTGTTTAAGCAACACAAAACAGACTAAGAGTGAGTCTTCATGGGAGCGAGGCTTTTCAGAAACAGACTGTCCTACCTGAGTGAATGCCTCATATAATGTAACCCAGCCCTCAGCATGACTCCAAACTCAAGAAAAACCCTGAGCCAGAACTATCCAGTTAAGCCACCCATGCATTTCTAACCCACAGTTTCCTGTTAAATAGTAAATGCGTTGTAAGCTAAGTTTAAGGATAATTTGTTACACAGAAATAAATAATTAATGCACTATTACCAAAATTAATTTCAGCTGTTTCTTTTTAGTTAGAAAATGTGGCTAATAGAAAAATTTAAATTACATGTGTGACTCATGGTATATTTCTATTGAACAGCACTGGTCTCCATGGTTCAGATGGGACAAAAGTGATCCGGATTTAATTTGGCATTCTAGGGAACAGGAGTGAAATTTGTGATGTAAAAATGAAATATTTAGAAACAAACCTAACAAAATATGTTATGATCTATAATCTCTTGGCTAAACTAGCTTCTGATACTTATATATTAGACTACTGTGAGTTGAGTCAACACTTCCTCTATTCCCAAGATATTCCCTAGTTAGTAGAATGTACTGAGAGAGACCCCTCTTTTGTGCATGTGTGTACTGGGTCTTGCACATACTCTACCACTGAGCTACACCCCCAGCCTCAGAGACACTTTTTTCCCCCAATACTGGGGACTGAACCCAGGTATGTTCTACTAGTCAGCTATATTCACAGCCCTTTTTAATTTTTATTTTGAAACAGGGTCTAAGTTGCTGAGGCTGGCCTCAAATTTGCAATTCTTTCTGCCTCAGCCTCCCCAATCATGTGCCATGGAGTATAGCCCCAGAGACCACTTTTACAGTCATGTGCCATGGAGAATCACCTCAGAGACCACTTCTAATATCCTTTCCAGTCCTAAATTATATGATTTAACATTTGCTTGCTTTAGTATTTGCTTGCTACAAAGGAGCAATGGGCACATTGGTAATAGCTGGTTAAACCCAACATTAGCAGCTCTACTGAGTCTCCTACAGCCCTCCCAGAAGTTCACTGCTGACATCTCAGGATTCCAGAAAACTGTTGTCATTTAGGGGTTTGTAGCTACATTTGAGGTTGAGAAGAAACAAAAGTTTTAGCTTTCTATTTGCATTTGCAGAACCACAGAGAGTCAAGGTGATCATTAGAAAAAAATATTTTAGAAAATTGAATTTTCTATTGGATTACCTTTTCCTAGTACAGTGACAAGTTTCCCTATGTCTTCAATAGCTAAACCAATCAGAGTCTCCATCATTTGACTAGAAAGCTGCTGATTTGAATCTCCTCTGTTCTGGTTACTTACAGATTATCATGGAGTAGGAGGACCACGTCATAAGAATGAACATTTTCCCATGTGCTTGTCCTCTGTACTTAATTAAGGAACTATCGTCTTTACACATCCTACATGCATTTAATTTTGACAATGTAATTAATAGATGTAATACTTCTCTTCTTCTCTTCAGAGGGAAGGGCTTCTATAGAAACATTTGACCAAAAGTAGATCATTCCCTAAAAGGCTACCATGGATAGTTTCCTCCCCTTAAAATGACCCTTGAAGGCTGGGGTTGTAGCTCAGTGGTAGAATGTTTGCCTCACATGTGTGAGGCACTGAGTTTGAAACCTGTCTTAGTTTGGATTGCAAACTAAGTTTAGCACTACATAAAAATAAATAAATAGAGTAAAGATATTGTGTCAATCTACAACTTAAAACACACACACACACACACACACATATATATATATATATATTCGAAGCATTTCAAAGGCTGGGGTGTGGCTCAGTGGTACAGCACCCATGTCTGGTGTGCAGGAGGCCTTGGGCTCGATCCCAGCACTACAGAACAAAACATGACAAAACAAAAATTTAAAACATTCCATCTTTGGATTATTTGGTAATTTAGAAAGGGACAGCAATTATAACATAGGCCATCATTCTATAAATGATAATGGATAGTGACTGCTTAAAAATTTTGCAAATACAAGCTAAAGATGTCTATATAAATTAGTATCATTTGGCAGATGGCATTTATGGTTTACTTATATTTATTTCTATTAAGTCTTTAATTTGAAAACCATCATAGCAATATTTTAGTATATTTCAGATTTTCTATTAGAAAAGAGATTTGGAAAACTTATGAAACTGTAGAGGCAATCCTGTGAGGAGGTGATTAAGCTATGTTACTTCTATGAAGACAATAATCGCAAATCAGAACTTTGTATTAAGTGATAATTTTAATTCTGGATTTTGATTTTCTATGTTTTAATCAACCTAATTTTTTCCTAAATCAAATAGTACTAGTCTATGTATATAAAATAAATTAATCAGTCATTTCAGATGATACCAAAGCTTTTCTAAGTTTTCAAAATGACAGTATCACAGTGCTAGGTGCACCCTCTGTTTTCCACAGCACTATCACCAGACTCTGTATCCCAGAGCTCAGCAATCTGTCCTTTAAACACATGCTCCACTTGAGCTTCTCATCACTTTTGAAAACAAGTAATGAATGGCACCTCATGTTAGGACATATTAATTTAAATTAGTGGCCAAGAAGCGATGGTTCTTAACTTCTGATTTAAAGCCAGTTGTCTTTATTATACTAGTTAATGTTCAGCAATATTTACCCAAATCTTGGGGACCCCTCACACACATTTGCAGGCACAACATAAGCTTTTTTAAAAAATAAAGCAAGACATTTTATCAATTAAATTCTATTACTTTCTTCAGGGCATGATGATTTATATTATAAAGGTTCAGAACACGGAAATTTAGATCTTCAGCTGTTGGGATCCAAGGAAACCATTTTCAGGTATTTGTCTCCTCTGTAATTCTCCTCCTCCTCCTCTCTTCCTCATTGGTTGTCCATGTTGCATCCTTCCCCAACCATACACAATTTCACTATTCTTCCCTGAAAGTCACTGTCCATGGCTGTCTCTCCCTCTCCTAGGTGGACCTCTAACTTCAAAGGTCTTCAAGCATCAAAGACCCTTTCTGGCTCCTCACCCTTAGACTAATCCATCCACTAGGAAATAATTTTGTTCTTTCGTTGCAGGCTCCCACTCCTGCCTCCTCTGCCATTGCACACATGCAGCTGAAGGCAGGATACGCTCTCCCTCTTCTCCTTGCTGACCCAGGACGACTCTCCAAAAGCTTGTCCAATGGAGCCAGTGTCTGCAAAGGATAGTGCTCACAGGGCAAGGGGAGGAAAAGTGAGTTCTTATCAGGATCATATTGGCCTTAAAATATCCAGGCACACCCACATCATTCCTTGATTTCAGTTATGCAAATATTTTTCTAATGCACAATTCAAACTCCTGCTCACAAACAGGTGCCTTTTCATGTAATCAAGATAAACTACACATGTGGCTGCTATTTTGTGGCTTTGAAAAGGTGATAAAGGGCATAAGGGACCATCAGGCTAGGCCCTCCCTGGATAATTCCCGCCCCCCCCCCCCAGCTGCTGTGTGGATCCAGACCCTCCTTTTGTTTGCCACTGAGCACGTGACCTCTGCGGATGACTGACAAGGGCAGACTTGGAACAACATTATTTCAGGAGGATAATAACCAGCCATCATAAACTCCTTTTTTAATAGTTCATTGCAGGTTGTAGACTATTGACAAGGACTTTATTTTACAGCACAGAGGAAAACAGTTCCTTGTCGCTGCAAGTCTCTAAAACCACTTTACGACTTTTTAGTACCCGCAGAGAAAACCTAGCCTTTCATGAAATGAATCATCAATGGTTCAGTTAGAGCCACTGTTAAATAGGAGGAGAAAGGAAGCGAAAGAAAAAGAAATATCTGTTTCAGATACAAAAGAGATATCCTGAAAGTCCCCTTCATGTAATTACAATTTTAGCGAAACTCTCAGGACTACTACCTTTCTATGTCTTTCTTCCCTGGGTGGTAAATGAAATCCAATGAAGAAATATTGAAAAGTCTTCACCATAACCATGGAGAGAAATTAAAATTAGTTAGGAAGTAGCTTATCCTGAAATCTGAACAGGAGCCTCTAAGGTGCCATTTCTCAGTCTACTGGGAGCACATCACTCCATGTCTGGTTCCTTTTTGTGAAAAACAGACATTACCATTTTCACTGAAAATCTCATATTTTTGTTAGGATTTCTCTATTTTGACTTCAAATCATGACAATATTTTTACCAATGTCAATTCTTATAATTTTATACTACACATCAGGACCTATACTGAAAATGGCCATCATGAAATAGAAAATAATTTTAATTAGAAGAGAGAATTTCTAAGAGTGTATGCATGTTTTCCACCTTTCCTTTAAAAATATGTTATCTTTCATTGAGAAAATATTTAAGCCCTGAAAAGCAAATCTTATAAATAAAACACACAGAGTTAGAACCATACAAGTCAGATACATATGTGACTAATCATATCTTTGATATATTTCTCTGCCTAATCATTAACTTTAAATGCCATATAAGAATTTGTAATCTGTCATAAATTATTTCATAGAAATAATTTAAGAAGGCTGCTGACTAATGTGAAACATTCTAGTTTCCACCAGCAGTTGGCTGCCATTGTAGGAAAAAAAAAAGTCCCAGATACGAGGTCACATAAAT